GGGGAGGGCACAGTCAGGGAGGAAGGGGGCACCGCGGGGAGGGCACAGGGAGGAAGGGGGGCACCTCCTAGGCCCCTGTCTCACTGCTGGGCAGGAGCAAGGACAAGCTGACATTTGGTCGAAGGCTAGGAAACGTGGCGAGAACACAGGGTGGGGAGGGAGCCCGGGATCGCACATGCGCACTGGCATCGTGCGGCCTGAGAGCCGCTCACACAGGGCCTCTCTCACCCGGCCCGTCCACGCGCTGACGGAGACCAGAGCCCTCTGAGCTCCGTGCTGGACGCTCACAGAGCTTAGCACGTGCGTCGTCGGGGACAGAGAGAGAGAGAGAGGACCGTAGGGCGCCAGCCTTCCCAGCTACGGCTCTCGAGTGGGGAGGCATGAACCTCACGGCAGCCGTTCACCTACAAAACCGCTTCACCTCCGTGGTCGACAGCAGCCTGGGGGGCTGCGAGGGGAAGTGCCGCCGTCCCCGCACTACGAGGGCCGCATGCGCCCAAGGCCACAAAAGGAGTCACTTGAGAGCAGGGCCTCCGACGCCTGTCTTCCTGACACCAAGCCCCACACAGTCCACTGCTGTCAACTCGGCGTCGCCGACCCTCAGGGTCCACGACGCGCCCCGTCACACGCTCGGACATCCGTGTGCAGGGCAGGACCTACCAGAATCCGCGTGGTCAGAGATGAGCCTGACGATGTCCCCCGGCCGCCCGTCGATGTTGAAGCAGACGGTGAGGTTGCGCAGGGGGAAGTCCACGACGAAATGGGGGTCTCCATCCACTGCCAGACCGGCGAGAAACAGGACAGGGAAAGACAGAAAGACATTGGCCGGGGGCCTTCCGTGAACGCAGCCCCCTCTCTTTTCTCACGCGTTAGGTAGTGAGCCTGCCCTGATCCGCAGTGTCCGGGGGGACAGGGAGCTGGGACACGCCAGCGCCACGCAGCGTGTGGGCTTTGTGACCCAGGTCCCCCACACCCCACACGAGGCGTTCGCCGCGCCGCCGTCCAACAAAACCATTTCCCTTCTCCCCGCACCACCCGCCACGGGAAGACATGGGGTGAGAGCCCTCCCACGCCCGTGAGCGGGGCGCCCTGGCCCTGGAGGCAGATGTGCACAATCCCCACAGGACAGCGGTGACGGCCGAGCCCAGCGCACGGTGGTGACCGGAAGGCTGCAGGGTCACTGGGGGGCGACAGCGGAAACCCCTCCATCCGGGGCTCGCCGACTCAAGTGCTCCCAAATTTTTGTCCACAGAGGAAACCACGGAGTGTGGCCGGTCCCTGCTCCGTGGCCGCTGCTCTCGTGTTCACCTCTGCTGAACGGGAAGGGCCGCGCCTCACACCGCACAGGCGAAACAGTGCCCAACGGCCTGCGCCCATTCTCGTCCCTCGTCAGACGGGAGAGGTAGCCTCTTCCTAACGTTTATGCCAAACACGTGTCTGCGAATTCCTCTCTGCTTCACATGCACGTACACGTGTGAGGCTGTGGTCAGTCTTCTTGAGGCGCAAGCGAATCCCTGTCGTTGGTGTAACTGCTAAAAAACCCTTTCTGTCCCCAGCGTGACCCAAAGGGGCCCATGGAAGAACTGATCTCACCGCGCAGTTCTGCAAGCATCCTATGAACATATAAACGAATACGAGAACGGGGGTGAACCCCAGACGCCCCTCGGAGGTGCCAGTCCTGTCCACGCTTGTGGCCCCCTTTAGGGATGAGCAGAACTACGTGAAGGTTCTTCGAGGCTTTCTTGTGCTCACGCCACATGGCTTCCACTCAGACCGCCCGAATCCTTCTACTGGGGAAGGAGAGATGTCTGAAAGTCATCGCTCCGCACAGCGGCCAAGAGGAGAGCCCCCTCACATCTGCAGAGCACGCGTGTGTTCGGAGGGGCGCGCTCGATCCGCCGCGGACGGCTCGCACCCCACCCGCACGGCTCATCTCTGGAACATTCCCGGCTCGCTGGGCTTGCCCGTCCAGCACCCCGGCGGCGAGGCGATGATGAAGGCTCACAAAGGGGGACGTGTACCTTTCAAGAACACAGCCCTGCCTTTGTGCATCTGGATTTTTACTGTAACCCCAGAGAGCCGGCCAAGGGCGCCTCGTGGTATTTTTGTTTGTCTCTCCCTTCTAAAGCCAAAGATTAAAATAATAATGAATAATAACAAACAAACCCTGTTCAGGACACAGGGAACCGGGGCCAGAAGACCTCAGCCGTCTGGAACGAGGACCTTTTAACTCAGTAATGACGAACGCGCCCCCGCTCTCCATCCCTCCAGCCGCCAGGGCCGCCGCGCTCCGCGGGCCGTGTTGGCCACCGTGTTTGTGTCACAGTTTAGGGGCCACCCCGTTCCTGCAGCGGCCTCACGCTGCCGCCTCCTGCTAAACGTCTGTGGGTCCCCAGGCCGTGCTCCAGGCGCCGGGACCGTAACTGGCTGCGGGAAATGCCCGGCGCCCTGCGGGGCACACGTCTCAGCCCTCCAGGGGCACACGACCACCTTGTTTTCTTACCTGAGGTTTTGGAGACTTTAATTCTTGGGTTGTATGGTTTCTTGAGAGCAGGTCCTAGAAAGCAGAAGAAAGAGAACCACAGTGTTATTAAGGAGGATGTGGATGAGGGGACACAGACGAGAGGTTTGGGGTGAGCGAAACACAGCTTTCAAAGGCGTTTGTGGTGATTTATTTATTTTTTCTTTAAATTTTTTAACGTTTATTCTCTCTTATTTTTTCTTTAATTTTTTTAAATGTTTATTCTTGAGAGAGAGAGAAAGAGAGAGCATGATGAGGGGAGGGTCAGAGAGAGGGGGAGACACAGAATCAGAAGCAGGCTCTAGGCTCAGGCTGTCAGCACAGAGCCTGACATGGGGCTCGAACTCGTGGACTCTGAGATCATGACCTAAGCAGAAGTTGGACGCTTAACCGACTGAGCCACCCAGGCGTCCCTAGGCTTAATTATTCTTTTGTAAATAAATAATATTCTATTTAATTCTACTAAACAGACAATATTGTATTAAATTATACCTAATTCTACTATTAGATATTCTTCCTAAGCCTTCTACCTATGTCATAGGGGAAAACACTCTATCGCATGTAAGGTATAGTTACAGGGTGGGGGGAGGGGAGTAGAGTTATCTAACCGTACAGAGTTTCAGATCGGCAAGATGGAAAAACGTTCTGGAGCTACATGAATCTACCTAACGTGACTGAACTGTATGCATAAAAATGGTTAAGATGGTAAATTTCATGTTATTTTTTACCACAATTTTAAAGTTTATAATAAAAAATGTAAAAAAAAGACATTTATAATCCATATATAATGATAATCCGAACTTTCCAACAAATTTCCAGGTCTACAGCCCTCACAGCAGATGGCGTCTAATGTTTGTAGAACACTTATTCTGTGCTGAACACTTATATGTCTTTCCTTGACTGCCCTGCAGAGGAATCATTCAAGTCTAGGTTTTACAGGCCAGGGAACAGAAGCCCAGAGAGGGTCAGAAACCTGCCCCGAGCCACACGGCCGGTTAGGAGGGTCGGTGAGCTGATCCTGCCCCCTACTCGCTCTCTCCGGGTCCAGGTGCTTCTCATAGCGTAGAGCGTGAGGGACGGATAAGAAGCATCTGCCGGCCCTGGGTTCGTGTCGGCTCCCTCTCGCGCGTGAAAACCGTGCTGCTTGGCACCAGGCCGTATCACTGAGGGTATTAACGTGCATTTGGGGAAAACGACTTCTCCTGTCCTGGTCTTGTGCGTCGCTGCGAATTTCCCCCAACAGGACGGCTTGAGACTGACAACCACAATTTTGTTTAGTCTGAGTGGTGAGCACGTGGAGGGGGAAGCGTCCGGAGAATCCACCACTTACTCCCTCACGTGTGCTCCCAGGACGACAGCAGTCACGCAGCTGAGAGGAAAGTTCTCTCACCTCCCACAAAGCAAGGGCGCATTCAAAGGAGTTAATGTCCCCCCTTGGGGACGGTGTGTTTCCTGTCCCCATGGCTAACCTCCAGATGCCTGTGGCTTTGTGAACCGGCACGTCCAGCACGTAAAACAGCACAACCCCAAATACTTCAAAATGTAGCAGGGCAGGGGCGCCTGGGTCGGTTGAGTGACCGAGCTCAGCTCATGATCCCCGGTCAGGGGATCGAGTCCCACGTCAGGCTCTGCGCTGAGCATGGAGCCTGCTTAAGATTCGCTCTCTTTCCTCTCTCTGCAACAGGCCCCTCTCACTCTGTCTCTAAAAATGAATTTTTAAAAAGTGTACAAGGGGACTTGGACCCAGTGCTGCGTAAGTTCATCCGTGGGCTCACTGTGTGCCCCGACACCACCTCACTGGTGGCAGGCACCCGATGGGTGAGTCACCAACAGACTGACCGCACCTGGCAGCATTTCTGGACAAATGCCACCTCTTCTCTGCAGGGACGCACACTTCGCAATGATACAAACACGAGTCTACCACTTGCTGTCAGACTGGCAGGCAGGTGTCTGGTTTATACAGAGTGTGACTGGGGAAGGTGGAGGGGACGACCCAGGTGTGCACAGTGTGACCCAGGAGGGGTGGGGACGGCCCAGGTGTGCGCAGTGTGACCCGGGAGGAGGAGGGGCCTGCCCAGGTGTGCGCAGTGTGACCCGGGAGGGGAAGGGGCCGGCCCAGGTGTGCACAGTGTGACCCAGGAGAGGGAGGGGACGGTTCAGGTGTGCGCAGTGTGACCCGGGAGGGGGAGGGGACGGCCCAGGTGTGTGCAGTGTGACCCGGGAGGGGGAGGGGACGGCCCAGGTGTGCGCAGTGTGACCCGGGAGGGGGAGGGGCGGCCCAGGTGTGTGCAGTGTGACCCGGGAGGGGGAGGGGCCGGCCCAGGTGTGCCCAGACTGTGACCCGGGAAACCGAGGCCGACGGCCCGGCTGACACGACCGGCGGAGGGCTGGTCGCGCACGTGGGCTCCCCTCGGCCTCCGCCTCCGGGCAGGTTACCTGGCTGCGGGCCGGCGCCTCGGAGACTCTGCATCACGGGCTCGGGGCCCGCGCGCGGCGCCGGCGTCCTCAGGCGCATGGCGGTGAGCGGCGTGAGGAAGCGCGCGGCCACGGCCAGGGCCTGCGCGCGCCTTCCCAGCTGCTCGCGCTCGCGCTCGTCGCGGCTGCGCCGCCAGGCGCCCAGCAGCTGCCGGGTGCTCAGGTAGCTCCAGAGCCGCTGCACGGGGTTGGGGGCGCCGCCCGCGCCCGCGCCCGGGGCCCGCAGCCGCACGTCCGCCCGCAGCACGACGGGCTCCGCGCCGTTGCTGGCCGTCACCTCCACGCGCAGCCGCTCCGCGCGCCGCGCCAGCTGCCCCGCGACGACGATCTCCGAGCCGTTGAAGTAGTTGGGGAACAGCGTCCCGGTGACGCGCTCCACGGCGGCGGGGGGGTAGTCGACGCGGATGTCGGACAGCAGAGGGGTCCGGATCTCGTCGTAGAACCTGCGGAAGGCCGGGGTCAGGGCCGCCGGGGCTGCGACCGGGCCGGGGGTGGGGGTGGGGGCGGGGGGCACGGGGTCGGCTTCTCCCCGCCCTCGGCACAGCCCTCCCCACGGGCGCTTCCGGCAGGAGGAGGCTGCTTGAACCCCGCTGGTGACAGAGAACTCACTCTCAGTAGGCTTCCCACCTCTTGACGGCTCTGACAAGGTGAAGGAGCCCCGGGAGTGGATCTCGGCTTTCCTTCCAGAAGCTTCCACCCGTCCATGTCTATACCACCTTCCTTCCTGCCGCTTCCACCCGCCCGTGCCCGTACCACCTTCCTTCCAGAAGCTTACACCCGCCCGTGCCCGTACCACCTTCCTTCCTGCAGCTTCCACCTGCCCGTGCCCGTACCACTGCCGCAGCAGCACTGCACACATGATATACCTCGCCTTCCACACTCACATGCTTGAAAAACACGCCCCAAGTGTGTGACTGCCTTGTGATCCCGTCCCTGTGACCTCACCTGTGCCCTGGCTTCAGGACTGTCCTCGATAGGATCCGATCTCCAGAATCCCCAGAGGAGGGACCTCAGGGCACCCTCCCTCTTACACACCTGCGCTTCACAAAGGGTCCTTAAAACCTGTTCCGGAGAACCGAACACAGATTCTGGACGCACTGTAACCAGCCGCCCTCTCCAGGACAAATCTCACCTTGACGCTGGCACTAAGCTGGGGTGTAAGGGATGCCGCATTCGCTTGCCTTAGCTTTTCTCCTGGTTGTTACGCGGCTACATTTTGCTGAGTGAGGGGACAATCAACCCCCCTCTCAGCCGCTGCCCTGCTGTGTCCTGGGAGTGCGCCTTCCCCTCTCTGAACCTGAGCTTCTCCCTCTCCATGGCTGCAGTGTTGAAGCAACTGCTTTGGAAGACTAGCTGTCCCCTGCAGCCCATTCTCCCTTTCTCCCCAACTGAGTTCTAAGCTTCCAGCTGTGAACGACATCTCTCAGCCTCTCCTGTGGCCAAACACAGCCACGTCCTCACCAACAGAATAAGTAGCAGTGATAAGCACAGCCTCTGTGACGCCTGCTGGAAACAAGGCTTGCTCTGGCTTTCTTCCTTCCCCCTCTTTGGGGCTAGAACATGGAAGTGATAGCGACCTAGTTTGGGGCTTGCATTAAAGATGACACGCGACGGGGAGGGGGGGCACAGGAACCATAAGCCTGAGCACCCGACGCGCACTAGCGAGCGTGCAATACCCGGCACGGTCTTCTCATTCAGTCCTGTCCACCGGCCGTACCCCTCATCTCGCAGGCGAGGAAACGGGGCGCAGGCTGGCCGGATCTTGCCTGAAGTCACAAGCAGGGCCAGTCCGAACCCAGATCGACCTGGTTTAAAAGCCCCTTACGACGTCTCCCACCTTGAGTCCCGACCACACGGCCCCGCACCCCCTCCCGAGAGCCCGAGTCCCACGGACCCGATGAGCTGCGAGCCCGCGTCATCGTCTTCCAGCACGTGCCGCGTGAGGCCACAGTTCTCCAGCGACAGCTTCTCCAGCAGCCTGATGTCCACGTCGTTCCCGATGCCGATGGTGAAGATGCAGATGTGGCCCCGGGCGGCCTCCCTGGTGTTGTTGAGAATCTTGAGGGTGTGGGTCTCCCCGACGGTGGGTTTCCCATCAGTCAGGAAGATGATGAGGGACACGCTGCGATCTCCCACGTCGTTGCGGGCCACGTAGTCATTGAGCAGCCTGATGGCCCTCTGCAGCGCCCCGTTGATGTCCGTGCCTGGGGAGCAAGCAGACAGGCCGGCTCGAGCCCCCCAGTGCGGGCCTCCTTCACCTGCACGCACGGTCGGGGTGGGGTGTGTGTCCCCCCCCACGTTCAGGCGCTGGCAGGAGGACGTCCGTGGGGGAGGGGCCACCTGCACTGATGGGTGATGCCAGGGTGCCAGCCCATCTGGACACTCGGCAAGTGCTTGCTGGATGAAAGGAGACGGCACAGGGCTATCCACCGTATAGAACTTCTCCCGAACGCACACTGGAGAAGGGACCTTGGCTCGCACTCCTCAATACCTTAGCATCAATGACTCCCACTCCTTTTCTGGGAAAGCTCTGCAAAGGGCAGGAGGGGGTGGGTGGGTGCCGGAATGTGCAGGGAGGGCGAGTCCCAGAGGGAAAGAAAGGGCAGCGAGGGAAGGCCTCTGCTGCCTCTCCTCTCTCTGCTTCCTGCCCCTTCGGGGTACCTCTGCCCATCAGACCCCCACGAGGCAGAGGCTTTAAGGTTCACACGTCCGGGCCCCGCCTCTGCCCCGCCATTTTCCCTTCAGACGGCCAGTCACTCTGGCGAACGTGAGGGATGGTATCTGTGGCAGGTGCCGGAAAGATACGTGCTTGGTGGATGGAGAGACGGGTGGCTGGCCGGTGGAGGGGGACACGGCCGCAACATGAGCTTTTTGGATTAGCTGTGGATTTCATTCAGTGGCTACTATCTCCAACCACCCATTAAGACTGAGAGCCAACACCTATCTCTCTCACCTGACTCCAGTGGGTTTTTTTTTTCTTTTAAATGCTTATTTTTGTTGAGAGACAGAGAACACAAGGAGGGGAGGGGCAGAGAGAGAGGGAGACACAGAATCAGAAGCAGGCTCCAGGCTCTGAGCTGTCAGCACAGAGCCAGACGCAGGGCTGGAACTCACGAACCATGAGATCATGACCTGAGCTGATGTCAGATGCTTAACTGACTGAGCCGCCTGGGCGCCACCAGTAGGTTTGTTTTTTTCTTAATGACTTCATTGAGATGAAATTTACATACCAAAAGTGCTACCTGCTTTTGGTACACAATTATTTTTAGTAAATGTACAAAGCGGTGTACCATCCTCACCACATCAGTCACCCTGACCGGAGTGATTTTTATCTACCTGCAAAATGTACCATGTTTCAGTGAACCAGATAATTTTCCCCCATTGCATCACAGTCTCCAGAATTCTTGGCTAAAAAGAAAAAAATGCCTGTCCACGTCCATGTAAACACACTGATAATTCTAAGATGCATGCAGTCTGACGTAAGGGGAAGTGATGGCTGAAACATATTTACTATTTCATCTCACTCATTAACGTGCCTTTCCGGCTGCACAGCCTCGTTTCACCTCACCTCTGGATGCATTGGCCCGGACGAAAAGGCTAGTGTTTCGTTTCTCTTTAATCCAGAACCCGGCAATGGTGCCCAATCTTTTATTCCACCTTAAGGCCCAGGAGCCCAGGCAAAGGGATGCACTCGGGTTTCCCAATGCCAGCCCCCAGCACAGCAGGGCCTGAAGCAAACCTATGCTAAGATGGGGGGCACCTCCCCCACAGGTAAGAACAGGGAGGCTCCCTCCACCAGGCGACCCCCACAGAGCTGCCCCAGCCCTCCCCCTGAGGGCCCACCCAGGTCATCAGAGGACCCACATGCACCAGCAACAGGGGCTACGTGGGTGAAAACGGTCACATTTGATGCTGAAAGAGTCCCACGTGCCAGCCACTGTCCTCAGCACTTCAGATATTTTAACTGATTTCATCCTGATCACAACCTCGTTACCATCCCCGTTTCAGAGGAGGACACTCAGGTCCAGACACAGTAAATGGCTTGCACGTGGCAGGGCCGGCTTCAGAACCAATGTCCCCGACCCTGACATCCCCGCTTCCGTGAGAGGAACAGACTGCTTTTCTGTTCATCTCTAGAGGTTTGGGTGATGATACGCGGAGAAAAAATACAGGATGGCAATAAGGTTTCTAAGGTGCGAACTCCAGAAGGACCCAGTACACGTCGGCTGCTTCCTGACGCTCTGTCCCCACCCCCTCTGCCAACACACACCACACACACACACACACACACACACACACACACACACACACCGTTCTAATAGTGAGTAGCGCCCCTGAAATACATTTGATTGAACAAATAGTCCTTGAGCACGAGTGTAGGGCAGGGGCTGCACTGGGAGCCATAACAGCTGAAGGTGTCTTCCCTCGGGGGTGTGACTGGGGTTTCGTCAGCTCCCTGCCATATTATTGAATCTGGTCTTTTCCCTCTCCGCCAACCAGCCAAGCGGTCCCCACGCCCCCTGTTGCAGAGGCTGGTAACAAGTCAGCTCTATCCGAGTGAGATGAAGCCCTAACCAAAGTTTGTTTGGGAAGTCAGAGCTCGGTCTTGGGCGGAAATTAATACACATGCGAGAGGCGAAAGCTGTCAGAGGAAAACTGAACTTTGTTCCCCGATAACTAAAACAGAATTAACTGAGACAATCACCCCAGGAGAAGGTGTCTCCATAAAGGCCCTTTTCAGGAAGCGGGGAGGGAGTCGGGATGAGTTTTCCCAGGCTCCCCGACACTGGGCACCTGCCCTGTGCCCCCTGGGCTAGAGACACAGAGGCCAGCGGGAGGGAGTCCCAGGCCCCGAGTCCCAGGCACGGGCGCCTCGCACGGTTGGGTAGCGTCCTGTCCTGATTCTCTCTTCTCCTTCGGGTCCCGTATGACCATTTCCGCCCTCGCACTCTTGCCTGAGCGCCGTGCCCGAGCCAAGCGTGCAGAGCCTCAGAGCTCATCACGCCCTCCACGCACAGTGTGTCCCGGGCCGCCTCGGCTCCACGCGCTTCTCGTTGGCACAGACTGGCAACGGCGCAGTCCGTCTCCTTCTGCCTAAGGTGCTAACATTCAGGCACACGAAACACGGAAACATTTCTTTGCGTCTGATTCCCCCCCAAGAGCAATGTACAAAAACAGCTTCATTGTTTGGATCCATGAGATAAACCAGGAGAGGCTCCAAAACCTATCAAGTATTTCCCCTGCTAGCCTACCTGACCATCTACTCCGGGCCTGGAAGACGAGAATTTACAGAGTTAGTGTTCAGAGAAACTTAAGCTTCTGGGAAAGCTCTTGCCTTTATCTCCTTTCCTGTGATCGGCTTCGCCTTTCAAATCCTCATGTCTTGGCAGCAGACTAGCTACTCACTCATTATCACGTTGAAGCCAGTGGGAAAACAAGGACTTGCATTTACCTCCGCTGGGCGACATGTGGTGGATATAGACTTTGCCGTCTCTGACGTTGTCGGGAGTAACTGACACCAGATGGTCCTGCCACACTTTGATGCGGTTGGAAAAGCCGATGATGTTGAAGTGATCCTGGGGCCGGAGGTCGTGGAGAATCGTGAACAGGGCATCCTTGGTCTGAACAAACACAGAAGCGAAACCAGTCACACATCTGACTGCCTAGTCCTTGCGTCTCCTGGCTTGGAAACTGCACACCAGGGAGAATCCCGGGGTTGAAAAAGTGTCTAAGATGTAGAGGAACTTGGATGGATGCCAAGGAGCTTGGTCTCCTAACTGGGAAAAACTGGCTCCAACGTGTCACCATGTTATACAAGGCACGGATGCGTGTTTAATACGAGAAATGTCACACGGTGCTGTGTTATCAGGCCTGCGTATCGTCACAGCAGCCATTCTCTTGACCTGGAAGGTTCTTTTCCTCTGCCTGATGCCCATTTGTCACCTGACGGGCTCCTAGCCATTCTTCAAAACCCAGCTAATATGCTATATCCTCCATCTGAAACATTTCCTGATTCTTCCAAAGAGAAATGACCCTCTCTCTCCTAGGCTAGCGCTGCACTCAAAATACTCATAAGGTGTGTAGTTACCCAGTTGTGATCATTTGCTTCATATCTGTGTCCCTTACTGTGTTGTAAGCTCTTGGTAGGTGGGTCCCACTCATCTCCCTACTGCTCCCTGGGCAGGAGAGTTCCCGACAAGTCGGCGGGGGGGGGGGGGGGGGGGGGGGGGGGGGGGGGAGGGGGGCATAGACGGACATGCAGCGAATGAATGCACACGTAAACATTTTACGAATTGTAAGACTAAAGGTATAAATGATAAATACCTTAAGAATTTAAAAGAGAATGGGAACATGAGGCTGCAGCGATGTGAGGGGCCTTCACAGAGAGGGGGCAAAATGAGAGCAAAGGAATGGGGGCAAGGCTGAAAGACCAGGAAGGGCTTTCTGGAAAGCACTGAAGACAAGGGAGCGGAATGAGTAAATGAGAAAGGGGGGCGGAGGTGTGGAAATCACAATACCGTGCAAGTACAAAGCAAGCCAGAGAGACAGCCCCCACCCTTGGGCCCCTCAGAAAGGGAACGCTGAGAAGGATGGTGTGTAGGACACACGGAGCCCACGGGTAAAAATAAAAATAAAAATCACTGTTACGAGAGAGTGTTCCTTCCACACAGAGCCGACGCCACCTCCCGCGTGAGCATCAGGCAGGCGGACAGTCTAGACCTCGAGACGCCCGGCGCCCCCAGCTCTGCGGTGACGGGACAGCGGGCACTGCTGTTCCTGAGACAGCCCCGCCGGCTGCCCCCTCCAGGCACCTGGACAAACTCCTGCACTCTGAGAGCTCGGGGCCGGCCGGGCACCTCGGGGCGCGGGGCGCAGGTGTGGATGGTGGGAGCTCCTGGGAGCACAACGGCTTGTTCCGCTGCCGGCCCCCCCTAACTAGCGTGGGGGAGGCGTGGACAGGGGCCCTCCTGGCCCCTCCACGACGTGCTCCTCCTGGGTGACGGATACCCTGCTCTCCGCAAGCTTGTGCCGGCCTCTCCACCCTCCTCCGCTAAGTCGGCAGCTCCAGGCTCTGACCTTGTAAGGCCACAGCTGCAGCTCGCTTATCCTCACAGCACCCGGCGGTGGAGGTGGGGGGGCTCACGAGGCTCCTTTTCCAGTTGCACTGGGGCCTTTTGGACGGCGGCCCGGCCCTCGTCCCCAGGGGCCCGGGTGGAAGCTGCCACTGTGCCCGCGGCCAGCACCTTCCGCTAACTCCCTGCAGCCCCTCCTCTCACCCTGCGCCGGGAGCCTGCATTCCTGGAGGGCTTTTAAGGCAGGCGGAGGTGAGAGTCCTGAAGGAAGAGTAAACGCGAGCGGGCTTGGGCTGACGCTGCTGCACGCTCTGTTTACGTGCTCAACATGATCACAGAGCTCGTGAGACCTTCCAAGAGCACAATCCAGAGGACAGGGTAAGCACATTCCAGAATGATCAGAGGAAGCCCAGAAAGGCAGAGAATGTACAGTCCAAGCTTGTTCGAAGGCCTGAGCTCCCCTGAAGGCAAAGAAGTGATCACGTGAGGGGCTGGTCTAAAACTCTTCAGGGACCGGGGGATGACAAGTAAGAAGGCCAGTAGAACCTTCCAGGGCAGGCGGACAGGCTGGGACGGTTCCCACGGGCGCCCCGGGCCCTCGCCTAAGGTCACTGACGTGACCTAAGGGAAAGACACTGGGTATCCCAGCTTGCCGTGCACCTCGGCCTTCTTCCCTGTCCCCACAGCTCCACTTAGTGCCCTTGCGCCCTAGAGAGAAGCCTGCCTGCTTGAGTCCAGTAACTCCAAACACGGTGCTGGGAGTGAGGATGCCCTCACCCAATAGGTGACCACGGGGGACCGTGCAAATGTCTTCCTTAGAGACCTTGAAAATAAGCGTATACAACATATGACTGCATAGATTGCGTAGAGTTTCTGTGGAGGTTAATGCAATCGGTGGTTGGGTCTGATTAGCAAGGAAGGCTAACTGTCTGACATCGTCAAGGAACATTCTCCCTTGGGGGCCATCAGAATCCTTCCCGCAAGTCACCGTCGTCCACGTCTATTTTCTGGGACAAGGACAGGGCTTATCTGGGAACAGGAGGAATCAGGAAGTCCTGGGGAGACGGGGTGGGCGGGAAGAGGCAGGAAAACCATGGCCTGTGCAGATGGAAACAACAATGAGGAGGGGGGGGATCTGGCTGCGGAAGAAAGTAGGGTTCTTAAAGAGATTGATTCTTAAAGACAGCCAGCACCTGCACAGTCCCGGCAGCCACCGCTCTGTGAACGTCACCAGAACATTCCAGAAGGCGTTCGGACTGAAGAGAGATGAAAGGCACACAGATACAACTAATAAAATAAAAGGATGTATCTCTTCCTGTCCAGGCAGTGGGAGGTCATGAAAGATGGCTGTGTATAACTCGAGCTATCTAGAACCGTGATGGAGCGGGACTGCTCTCCACCTGAGGCCGTGTTATGGGGATGAAGTCCTCTTCTACACGGACTTTCCTCAGTTAAAAGAAGGAAGACGTATTTCCCTTGAAAACAATGCCTTAGAAGTCAATTCCAGCCCTGCCTTAGGATTACTATTAAGTCTTTTAATCTCTGTCCTTAAAGTTAAGCACCTTCGGGAACAAGGTGGATATAAATAACTACAAATAAACACTCTGCTTCAGGTCCTCCGTTCATTCAGCGTGGTTGGCTCCCATCCCTCTGCTCTAGTGGATCTTCAGGAGAGAAAGGTACACGGCAGCCTCTGACGGTGTCTGTCGAACAGGCAGAGCTGGGTCCCTGGGATTAGCACACGCCGTCCCTCAGCAGCGCCACGACCAGGGAGGGCAGTGCCCAGGGGGTAGCTCTGTCCTGTGCACTCCGGGCCCCTGCGTTAAACCAGGGCAAGGGTTGGGAATGTCCCCTCCCTGTTCCCTACAAAACGGAACCCTAGAAGCTGCAGGCGCTTGGCAGAGCCCTCAAGGGGGTGAGCGTCCGCTGCGCTGCGCTGCACTAACTACTGTGTCGTGAATGACCGCTCGGCATTTCACGAGCAGGAAAGCCTCATATAATGAGAGCCTCAGAGTGAAATGTCAGAAAGGCCCAGGACAAACCCAGCTGCCTGCCCCCTCCTGGCTGCCACTGCCATCAGGGCTCCGGAATAGGCAGCTCTTCTCAAACGCTTCTGTGTCTGCGTCAAACCACACTCAACAGGAAGTAGGGGACACAAAAGGCTTTTGTACCACAGAGTCCGGGTTGTTGGGCGTGATACAAGGGGAGCCATGATGTCGTACACGAAATCCAAGTTCAGGGGTGTTAGGTATCAGCCATTCGATGTTGCCCGCAGAATGGTCATGCTGTTGTCCTAAGTAGTGCTCTCCCTCCCCTCGTACTAAGATGTTTACCAAGACATTGACGTTCTCTCTATTTTTCCACGTGGTCCTTTTCAGTGAACCCGAGAGAAAAATCGCCTATGATGAACAGCTTAAAATAATCCCACAAAGAAACTTAAGCCCTTCTCACATCTGAGTTGGGCCACAAAGGATTGAGATCGATGGAAACACACCAGGAAAACAGCCCTAAGTTTCTGAAAGAGAGTGCCCGGAAATGGACTATGTCCACTACGAACTCTGGCCACACGTCAGCCTTCTCCCTTCCCTGGGCGGGGGAGGGGGGGCGTCAGGTAACGGGAGAAGGGGGAAGCCCATGTGTACTGTGCTCCTGTTAGCCTGCAGTACTTCTTGGAGCCAGCAGTGGGGACGCCCTCACTGCCCATGGTCAAGCTACCCGTTTTACACAAAAACTCTGACTCCAGCAAAGTCTGCAACACCAGATCCTCAATGCAGCTTTAAAGTGAGAGTCTAAGCCTGAAACAGGATAATGGATATGCCCGCCACCCGGGAATCTCTGCGCATGATACGGGCTTCCATGAAAGACGCTGTCCCAGTCACCCTGGAGTCACGGTCATGGTTCAAGACCACAGCAGCCACGATGTGCCAGCAGATGCTGTCATCCATGCGTATCAGGTATGCTTCGGTGGGACTGTTTCAAGACCATGGTGTTTCAAGATGATGAAAAATCCGTAAGAGGTAACAGAATCTTGTATTTTTAGACACTGCAAGTCTTCCAATAATTCAAAGGAAAGTTTTGAAATCTTATTGTGACTTGACCCACCAATGATCAGATGTCTTTAAATCCCAACTTCAAGAGCAAGGCAATAAACTGGGTGAGACTGACTGTTTCTCCATAACATAATTCGTGTTTATATCATAGTTACACTAAAAACAAACAAACAAACAAACAAAAAACCTAGCCACACACACTTGCTTCAAAGAAGAAACCATGTTATTCCACAGACTACAGTTAAGGTGCCTCAAGAGGTTCTGTAAACTCGCAAAGGATATCCGTGATAATACCTCTTGCCGCCTCTCTGCCACAAATATTTCCTAAAACAAATCTCATTATGTAATTTACACGTTGAAATTATAAACTGTAATACAAGAACCAAAGGATGAAAAAAAGCATCTCTGTCAGGTTTGAGGAATCTTGTTGAAAGAAACTAAAACTATTTTTCTTTTTTTTAATTTTTAATGTTTTTATTTATTTCTGAAAGAGAGAGA